TCATTTTTCATTCTGTTGACCTGGGTATTATTATTTCTTTTCAGAAACAGGAAAAAAAAAAAACGAACATCTGTGTCTCCTTCCAATATGCTACACATCTGCGCGTTTTGTAGCGGGTCTTCAAAGTTCAGTTAGCAACCCACGGACGCCATTCATCTTCTTGTTAAAATGTCTACCGCTGTAGCCAATGCTCATGCCCTTGAGGGTGTTCCTCTTTTTTTTTTTTTCCATTATTGTATATAAAGAACATTGTGACTTTTAATATTAGCATTTTTGCTTTCAACAGCAATTAGCAATCTCTTGGTTTGCTGTTTGGTAAAGCATCGGTTAATGAGGTCACCTAGTTTAAAATCCCAGCTACTAGAAAATAACAGGGAGGAGGTCAAATCTATCATTTCATGTTATATTCTCTGCTCTCTTTTCAGTTCTCTAAGGAAAAGATATCTTTGTTATCCACAATAAGTCATTACGACCCGTTACTGGCCCTCTGGTTTTACTACTGCCTCAAGATACAGTTAGGTTCTCTCTTGCTGAAGTACTGAAATAGGATAGTTCATCTATAAACAAACAAAAAAACAACTTTGAGCATCTGAGGATGAGGAATTGGTTTCATGTTGGTTGTGTTGTCTTTCCTCGGACAGTTCTGAGTTCACGTCTAGCGAGGGGTTGTCTCTATGGTCGAAGGGGTCCCCGGGGTGGTCGACCTCGGGGTGGCTGCTGGTGGTGTGTCCATGGGGCTCCCGGCCCCACTGTTGGGCGTGACGGAGGAGCTGACCGCGGGCGTGTCCCCCTGCTGCTGGGCCTGCAGGGTCTGTCCGCAGATGTGGTGGTGCTTCTCCCAGTCTTTGTGCTGGCAAAATGAGCCACAGTACCGGGCCGTGTTACAGCCGCTGCAGGTTTCACTTGCTTTGCGGCCGCAATTCCAGCAACTCTACAGGAGAAGGCAGAAGAAAGCAAAACCCTCGATTAACACCTCATCTGGGTCACGGTCTGGAACAGTATGCTAGGCAACACTGCCACCGTTATTCTCGAGAACGTTGCGGCAAGAATAAAGCGTCCGGGGCCGTGTCTATGTGTGCATACCAAACACACAGAAGATGCAGGTTTGCACGTGATCGCCCCAGCTTTTCTACCAACGACTCTTCTAACAAACTCGTTGAAGCTCCTTTCTGGGTTTACTATAAAATCCCCCTTCCCTTCACACTTGGCTATCTTCACAGCGGGGTTCTCTGTTCCCCCATACCAACAATCACTAGATCTACATTTTGTCCCCTTCCAATACCAAAACCACAGCGGTCAGACGTGAATATACCGCTCCTGGCAGGAGCTCCTTCCCCCCAGATACTAACAGGAATCACGAAGGACCTATGAGAACCGTAGATGAGATTCAAAGAAGCATCATGCAGCAGAGGACTGCGTTCTCCACTCCATCACAGACCAAGGAGAGTGAGGCAAGGCATTGGAAGCTCTCCGGGGGTTCGTTCTTCCCACTGTACTCAGGCACTCAGTGTACCTGACAAGGACAAGCTGCAAACAAGCTCCTTCCCTTTAGCAACCTTGAGGACAGGATCCTTGGTTCTTCTCTGACAGACTCGAAGCACCCAGAAGAGTGCTTGCCCTATAGCAGGTGCTCGATAAACATCTGTGAAATGACTGAATCAGACTATACCTAATTTGATTTTGAAGAGTGGAAATACTGAAACCTAAGAGTGAACAATGGGTCTCTTTGCATACAGTGCTTCTCAGCGGCTGGGGTTCCTCGGCAGCAGCTCTGAGTAGTTAGGATTCTAAGTAGAGGAAAACTGACACCTGGCGAGGCCATTGCCAATCTCCGGAGCTGCTGTACAAGAGCTGAGTGAGAAAAGCAGAAATGACGTTGCCTCTAAGATTTAAACTCTGAGATAAACACATCATGAATCAGAGCACAGACACCCCAGAGGTAGAAAAGCATGCGGATGGGAGAGATGGTCCGGGACAAAGGAAGGCCTGAGCTGCCAGGGGCCTTTGCAGGACCCTGGCAGGACCTCCAGAAACCAACATTAAATATCCGTGGTTCCTTTGACAAAACCGTTCCCGGTGTGAAATGCTGTATCAAGTCAGCTTAGCATTGTGCCATTAATCTTTTTTATTCTTTATCTTCCTTGGTTTTGATGATTTTCTTGCAAAACAAACTTCTGACTATACTATGGTAACCCCAACCCAGGTGACTGGTATGTGGTTGTGTCACGATTAAAATACCTTTTTAAAGGCCCTGATATATGTGGATATTAAACATCTCCCCACTGTGTTGCCCGAATTGGTTTGCTTCCAGCATGCTGGTTGTATGGCCTGAGGCAGGCTTATAAATCTACTAAAAATACCCCAGTAGAATGTCAGTCCATCAGCCTGGTATGTATGGTTTTAGAAATGTCCAAAATATACAAAGGGATTTTTAGCAGTCAATCTAATTTTTTTTTATTTTTTATTTTTTTATTTTATTATTTTTTTTATTCTTATGTTA